CCATGTAAGCCATCTCTGTTCTAATGTGTGTCGGAAATCAAATCCGGCCCAAGCAGAGCACAGAGTGACAGGCGCCTGTCTGACACCAGGATGTGAAAACGAGCTTCTGCAAACGGCAAAGAACTGGAAGGAGCTTATACAGATGTCAAGATTTTTATCTTCATGGGTCTTCCTTTCCTATAAAGATCATGTTTCAAAATAAGACTAAATAGGGCGGGAGAGAGAGTTGAATGGGCTGAGGTATGGAAGAGACCTGGGGTCCATCCCCAGCACCTCAGGGTCCCTGAGCACCACCAGAAACCCCTCCCACCCCCACAAACAAACATGATCGTAGCAAATACAGGAAGGGGCAGAAAAAGAAGATGCCCTCTTGTCCTGGGGGTAGGGGGGATGGCCCATCTTCTCAAGGGGCTGGAATTCCTAGGAGGGAGGAAGAGGCTGTGAGAGGGGAAGGATGAGGTGGGAGAACTCTGTCCCCAGAGGGGCACCTGGGAGCCTCACCGGGGGTCCCTCAGTGCCTGGGGCACAGCTTAGCAACATGGACTGGATTTGGGGGTGCCCTTCACATATTCATTACAGTGTCCCTGAGGTTCCCAGATTGGACAGCATGGCAGTACCGAGCTAGAAGGGAGGGCATGGCTAGAGAGGGTCACTGTCTGCCAGTCTTCAGATTCTGCTGTCCTGCAAACTCTGCTGCCCTTTCTGCTCCCCTCATTGCACAGGGCTGAGCCGAGGGCATCGGCCCACAGGAGGGGACAGGCCTCCGGGGAGAGCAGGCCAAGATGGGGTGCCAGATTTGTGTGAAAGGCGCCAGCCTTGGCTCCCTGACTCCAGGGGTGGGGCGGAGGTGTGACCCCCAGACACGTCAAACTCTGCATGTCTTCGTGAGGCCTTATCTCCGCAGCCCTGCCCCTGGCCCTGGCCCTGCGTCTCCTCCCATGCTCCCAGCTCCCAGCCCCACCATCTGCCCAGAGCAGCAGGGCCTGGCTCCACCCCACCTGCCCTGAAACCCAGTTCCCGGAACAGTCTGGGTGTTTCATGGCCCTGCCCACCCGGCTCCCATCCTTCCCTCCCTTGGTGAGTTCTCTGACAGGAGCTCCTGCTAGCACTCTTTCCCCATCGCCCTCTTCTCCTGTCTCCACCCCTGTTCCCAGGCAAAGTCAGTGGCCCACTGGCCCCTGTCATTGCGCCAACCCCTGACCCTGCTCTGGGCACCGCTTCTGCATTTGTTGCACTTCATGCATCAAAATAGCCAATGAACGGCTGTGAATGGGAATGTGGGGCTGGATGGAAGGGGAGCTGGATTAGCCAGACCAGACCCTGGGCGGGACCCCGGGACTACCCCCTCTCTCTGGCAGCCTCTCCAGATTCATACGATCCCCTCTGCCACTGCACAAATGGGGGCTCTGCTCTCGTGGCCCCTGGTGGGCTCTCCCTTAGAGAGCAGTGTGGGTCTGGGAGCTGACCAGGAGGCTAGGCTTCAGACAGCTGTGTTCTGGGTACCCCTGAGAAAATCCCCCTTTGCTGGTCAGAGGGTCTCCCAGGGGGAGGCAGGGCCAGAGTAGTGGTCCTGAAGGATGTCATGTCCCATGCGCTGTACCTAGGTGACCTTTCAGATCTCCAGCCCCCACTCCCCAAAACCCATCCCCAGGCTCATAGGATGGCGGTCACCCATGTCTTCCGCGGCAGGCTGGTTTCCAGGAATGTCCTTGGCACTTGTGTGACAGAAAGCTCACAGGCACACACTATCCTCATTAGGATAGAGTGCGGGCCATCTGAGCACCATAACTCCCCTGGGTCAGCCTCCCCTCGGGCCAGGCACATGGATAAGCGCAGCTGACCCTGCTGCTCCCCTTCTTGACTCTAACGGCTAAGTGCCAACTTCCCTGAACCCGGTCCTGCCTTCACCATGGCCAAGTGCAATGCCGGACATCTGAGACCCCTTGGATGGGAGACACAAAACTTCAAGGCCCAGAATCACATGGTCTCAATGCTGACCTGCATGGCAGAATTCGGGTGGGTGTGTATGTGTGTGTATATGTGTGTGTGTGTGGGGGGGGTGGGGATCAGGAGCGGGTAAACAATAGGGCCGAGGGACAAAGCGCCTCACTTCAAAACTGAATTCCAGCTGGAGGCGGGATGCAGGATAGTGACTTCAAAAGGCATGAAGCTGGGCTTCAATCCCCAGAAGAGCCCCACATAGCCGACTAGACCCCCAGCACTGCTGCTGCTGTGATCCCTGGCACAAACGTGTAACTTGGAGAGGTGCTGCCACCACCATAGGTGAGACCCCCCCTCCAGGTAATACAACAACAACAACAACTCTAAAGGGAAGAGAAAGGAGGACACGGAATCCCAAATTACATCACTTGAAGAGTATACACTATGTCAATTCCTTTTGTGTGTGGGGTGGGGTGGGGGGAGTGTACACCCAGCGGTGCTCAGGGATCACTCCAGGCAGGGCTTGGGGGACTATATGTGGTGCTGAGGATCGAACTCAGTTATGCTGTCTCTGAGGCAAGCAAGTGCCTTATTTGCTGTACTATCTTTCCAGGTCCTCCATTAACAAAAAAAAAAAAAATTAAGAATCAAAATAAAGTCACAAAGGCACGTAGTTTTTGAAAAACTCATAAAGACAGACACACCTATTTCTTAAAAAAAATTCTTTTATTTTAGAGTAGGGCTGGAGCAATAGCACAGTGGGTAGGGCGTTTGCCTTGCACTCAGTCAACATGGCCGACCCGAGTTCGATTCCTCCGCCCCTCTCGGAGAGCCCGGCAAGCTACCGAGAGTATCTCGCCCGCACGGCAGAGCCTGGCAAGCTCCCTGTGACGTATTCGATATGCCAAACACAGTAACAACAAAGTCTCCAATGGTGACATTACTGGGCCCGCTCGAGCAAATCGACGATCAACGGGAGGGCCTTTACCTTTACCTTTACTTATTTTAGAGTATTCTAATTCCCATATTTTCCTATTCCAACTCTGTGGAATTTTTATTTCTCATCCAGCTAGTTGCACCTGTTCTTTGAGCAAACCAGTCTGACTTCTGCATGTTCAAATGGAACCAAGGAAACAGGTGTGGCTCCAGGACCAGCCAGATGAGATGTGGCACCATGAGGCATGAATCTGACCTGCCCTTTTTTCCTGTCCCTTCTGGAATAGCCTGAGGAGGAAGGAGTTGCTTGATGAGAGGATCCTGATGTTGAGTTAGGGGTTTGCGGCTTCCTCCCAGGCACACACACAGCGGCATCCAGCAACGGCCTCCAGGGCCTGGCATCTGGGCAAGGACTTCTCTGACTAAAACTTAAGGCTGTAGTCAAGTACTTCGCATTCTTCCCAACCAGTGTGTGTGCCAGTGTGTGTATGTGAGTGTGTGTGTGTGTGCGCGCGCGCGTGTATGCGTGCGCGCGCACACAAACACATTCAAGCCACAATTTATTTCTTACAAGAATTAACTCTTGCAAAGACTTGGTGGATTTCTTGGCCACACAAAAGTGGGCTTGGGAGAGGATTTGGGAAAAGACTGTGGGAAGATGTCATTTACTAAGTGAGGACCTTGGCTTCTCAGAGATGATAGAGAGAAAGGATGAAGCAGTGGAGAGAGGGGGACAGGAGTAATAAGAGAAAGCTAGATTAGGTGACAAGGGGCTTAGGAGCTGAGAAACTCCTGGTGACCAGAAAGCCAAAATAACTTTGCAGAACATTTCAGAAATGTGATTTAAAATTGTTCACTGGGTGATGTAATCTCTCCCCTGTGGCCCACAAACCTTCATTAAAAGTTCTGCTTCATGTTACGGCATTATTTTTGAGGTTGTTTTGGAATAGCGTTGGGGGTTGAGAGGAGGAGAAGGGACTGTGTTCCATATCCAACTGACAGAAGAATGAAAAAAAGAGCCACGAGACCAGAACAGTGACCAAAACTTCAGCCAAGGCAATGAGCTAGAGCTGAAGGTAATTGAACATCTAAGTGCCCCCAGCAACAGCACAGAAGGCCCAAGGAGGGCATTGGGCTTTCCACTAGTGAGTTCCAGTCATTGTCATCTGAATCTCAAAGGACAAAACGCCTCAACTGACATGAGATCACAAATAGGCCTTCTGAATTGAACTAAGACTTACACACACACACACTCTCGCTGGTTGAATGCTCTTAAGTCAGTGTAATGGGGGAGGAGGAGATAGCAGGGGGTAGGAATACCATTTCTGGCTGCCTCTCATGCTCCATAACCCTCTGGCCCTATTGTAAGCAGGACACCAAAAGCTTTTCCCAAGCGCCTGTGAACAATCAAGGCCAGGGGGCCACGGGGCGGCTCTGATTCTTGTCCTGCCACCCTTTCAGAGTCAAGAATGCAAACGCTGCCTCCGGGAAAAGGGCTCCCGGTGGTCCAAAGGGCCTGGGGTGAGGAGATCTAGGGAGGGCCTGTTGGGGGGGGGGGAGGGCTCGGGACTTTGTCCCCTGATGCCCTTAAAATATTTTGCAAGGGGGCTGGAGCAAATAGCACAGCGGGTGGGGCGTCTGCCTTGCGCGCAGCGGACTTGGGTTCGATTCTCGGCGTCCCCTGTGGTCTCCTGAGCACCGCCAGGAGTCACCCCTGCGTGCAGAGCTCAAGAGCTGCGAGTCACCCGCAGCCCATCATCCCGGGTCCCGGTCCGCTGGCAGGGCCGACGGCGCCACCTGGCGGCACCTCGCGGCCGCCGGGCTCTGGGCGGGAGCTTCCCCGGCGGGCGGCGCCGGCGGCCCTGCCCCGCCCCGCGCGGTGACGTCACTGTCCCGCGCCGGCGCGCCCGCCTCCGCGCGGCTGCCCGGCCCCGGCGTGGCGTCGCGCCCCCTCCCCTTGCCGTGCGTGCGGGGCGGCGTGCGGCGGAGGCGGCGGCGCGGCCGGTCGGAGCTCGGCGCGGCTTCTCGGGCGGCCGCGGTGCGGGGCGGCGAGCGCACGGGCCGCGGCCACAGCCCCCCGGCGCCCGGCGGCGCGGCGGGCGGGCGCGGGTCGGAGGGCGCGGCGGGGCGGCGGGGCAGCGGCGGGCCGGCCGGCCGGGGATGTCGATGCCCGACGCGATGCCGCTGCCCGGGGTCGGGGAGGAGCTGAAGCAGGCCAAGGAGATCGAGGACGCCGAGAAGTACTCCTTCATGGCCACCGTCACCAAGGCGCCCAAGAAGGTGCGGGGGCTGCGGGGCTGCGGGGCCGGGGCCTGGCGGGCGGCGGGCGGGCGCGCGCGGGGCTCGGGGGCGCCCGGGCCTCTCCCGGGCCGGAAGGCCGCCCCCGCCCTCGCTCCCCTTTGTCCCCGGGGCCCGCCCGACCGGGCCGGGCCTCGCGGGGTGGGGGCGGCAGGCGGGGAGCCCCGCGTCGGGACCCCGGCGAGCGGGGGCGGCCCGTTAATCCGCCCCGCAGCGCGGCCGCCCCGCCCCGCCCTCGCTCCCTCCCTCCCCGCGGCCGGCGAGAACGTTGGGGGGCGGTGGCAGCCACGGGGCCGCGGTGACAGGTGGGGGGCCGGCGTGTGGGTCGGGCGCGCGGGCACCCCCCCCCCCCCGGAGACCCGGCCCTGGGGCGGGGGTGGCAGCGTGGCCGGGGCGATGCTCCTTCTTGACCGTGCTTGGCGGAGTCTTTAGTCTGTTGGGAGTGGGGGGAGCCCAGAGAAGCCCCCCCTCCCCTACTTAGGGAAGGTCAAAGGGCACCCTTATTTGGGAGCCCTCGGTGATTTCTGGGCGTTTGCTGCCAAGCACTTCTTGACATTGCACATACCTGGCACCGCGTTAACGGTGGAGGGGAGAACGGTTTCAGGGAGGTGACCTTTGGGAAGCCAATGGGAATCCGGATAAATATCCCCCCCCACCCCCCCCCCCGCCACGTTCGAAGACTGTTCCAGGGCTGTCTCCGCCTGCGTGGTCTGCCGGGCAGCAGTGCTTGGACAACAGAACAAAGCAAGAATTGCGCGAATGGTTGTAGTCTTCGGCGCCCTAGCTAAAACCAAGTGGGAGAAGGTTTTATTTTTTGGAGGGGGGGCGGTTGGCCGTTCAGAGTATCTCCTGTGGCCACTTTTGTGGTTTTGTCTACGTTAACTCTTTTTTTTTTTTTTCTCACCAAACTAACATCCAAACCAATGCCTTTCATAAGATCGCAGGAGATCCCTGTGGCTCTCAGTAGAGTCTGATGTGCCATATTTTTTGCCTTTCTGTTCAGCGGACTGCTTTTGAGGAGGCAGTAACCCCTTGTGATCTGTACTAGCCCACAACACAGTTACAGCCCCTCTAGGCTGAATGCTTAGGGGTAGAAGCGCCTAGAAGCAGCGAGGGGGAACTAGGAAAGCCTTGGTATCCTAATTCTTTGAACTTTCTCTCCCCTCTAGGCTGTTCTCTTTTGTCTTGTTCTTGCAGGGATTGTGTGTCTTCGGTTGTGTCTTTATTCTTACCTTGATTTCTCCCAGTACAGAACTTGTATTGTAAATTTCCAGTTTCATGAAGACCAGAAACACATGTTCACAGATATATTTGCAATGCCTATCTCTGTACCTAGCATATAGTAGGTACCCAAATATTATCTGCCTGAGTTCAATCCCTGGCATCCCATATTGTGCCCCGAGCACTGCCAGAAGTAACCCCTGAGCATCGCTGGTCCAAAACAAACACCCCTTGCCCAGATGTTATCCACCTGGATGAGTTGCCGTAAGAGATGTCTTATGGTGACTGTGACCGACCAAGAACAAATAAATGTGCTTTCTTTTCCTCTTTTCTTCCCAGGAGGAATATTGCTAATGTATATTGTAAGGTCAAGTGCTAATGATTTTCGAGACTTATATTCCATTAGTTGAAAGAAGCAGTCTCTGCCAGCAATGTGGGAAGACCCTGTTGTAAGTTTCCATTTGCTGGTAAATGTACTCCAGTGTTGCTTATTAATCGTGCTCTTGCTGAGCTCTATTGTTTAGCATTTACACAGCACTTTCTACTAAAGTGCTTTGTGATGACTAATTACCCTTCCCCTAGTGATGATAAAAAGCATTTTAGTCATTGAGTTGGTTGAGACAAATCAAGGTCACATAGCAAGTCCTAGGTGATCCATTTTTCGGAACGTAATCTGAACCATGTGTTTCAGCTTGAGTCACTTTTGTACCTTTGCCATCTATTGTAGATGGGAGGAAGCATGAAGGAAGTTACAGGGATCCATGTACTGAGTGGCATGAGAAAAAGGCCTCCTCAGATGTTCTGTCCTTCACCTTGAGATTTCATCATGACTCTAGACCAGTGATCTTTGGTTCATTTCAAGGCCTGAGGTCCCTTAGGAAATGAGGCCATTTCTGGATCCAGTCAGAGGTTACTTCAGGGTGACCTTGATGGGACTTAGATCAGATTGCAGTGTAAATGGTGAAGTTTTATTAACTTTGGGACCAGAGGTGTCCATCCAGTGAACATTAGTGGCTAGATTCTTCAACTACAATCCTACCATACGCCTACAAAACTGCTGTGCCAGTAATAGGGCTTACTAGTTAATTCAAGGCTTTAATATGTTCATCAAAGAGCGCTTAATAGATACCACCTTAGGAAAGTGAGCCTTTGTGTATCGGTTCCCTCATTTGCCAAGTGAATATTTGTTTGGCCAGAACAGTTGATGAGACTCTTCATCAAAATATAATTCTTACTTCCTAGGAGCTTGAGGCTAAAGGGAATCAGGGTAGAGTTAATAGCAGATATGAGAAATAGTATCTTTCTGTTTGTCAAGAAAGTAACTTCTGCTGATGCTAAATTCTCAAGGAAGTTTGCATGAGACAGCAGTAACTCCAAAGTATGATTCATATACGTTAAGACTTACTCGGGCTGGAGCAGTAGCATAGCGGGTAGGGCTTTTGCCTTGCACGCAGCTGACCTGGGTTTGATTACCAGCATCCCATATGGTCCCTGAGCACCACCAGGGGTAATTCCTGAGCGTAGAGCCAGGAGTAATCCCTGTGCATTGCCGGGTGTGACCCAAAAAAGCAAAAAAAAAAAAAAAGAAGACTTGCTTATGGCTCTTGTTAGTGAGTTCACTTGGTATTGCCTGGAAAATTGGGGTGAGAAAGAGTCTCTGAGTTGTGAGGGTGATGTACATTGTGCCACAGCATCACTTGAACCGAATAAATAACTCAGCTACTTCCTCTAAATAATACTGCTTTTTTAAAATCCCTATTTTTCTGCCACTTTGTGTTGACTGGATAACTATCCTTGGGCCTTTGGAAATTGGTGTTGTGTCCAGTCGATTTATTTTCACAGAGTAGTCACAAATCTTCAGGCTTTGTTGATGAAGCCTCGTAAGATAGACCTTATTTTTCTGGAAGGCCTATCAGGACATTTGCTATTTTCTGCACTTCTGAACATTTGGTGAAGTGTTCTCGAGTGTCACATCAGGCATTTGACCTGGAATCTGTGTGGGTAGACCTCTACCACCAACTCATAGAGGCAAGTAGAAAAAGAACACAGAAGAAACCACTTTTGCTTGTAAAACAAAGACTATAACTGCATCAGTTTATCAAAGGGTTCAGCTGAAATGTGGAGCGCTTATTCATCAAGGAGAGCCTCTGAGCCCTGTGTTAGTGTTAACCAGAAGGCAGGATACATCTCTTCTCTGGATTCTGTTAGGAACAATTTTTGATGCAGTTTTATAGAATTTGTGCCAATTCTCGCTCGATTCACTGATGAGATTTGCTAGATTAACGTTTTCTATCTTCTCTAGATCGTCTCTTGGTCCTTTCAGAGGAGTTGTTTTAGCCACTCTGACTGTGGAAGTCTTCGAACAGGAGTCAGGCATGGAAGGAGATGAGATGCCTTTTGTAGGTGTCTTTGTTTTGCCACTGACACTGATTACTTCTCTGTGTGCCAGTGATTATTTGTTAGACACTACCTTTGTGTTAAGCTTGTCCCAGAGCAGTGCCTTCTGGACCCCTTGCTGGAAGGATTACAAAACCGTATTTTGCTTTATCGAGACAGTATTATTTGGATCCAGTGTGTGTACTTAATATAATCTTGTAAAGTTATACATGTTATACATGGTATTTCAATACATGGAATCGTGTAAATCTTTAGTTGCCCATGAAAAACTTGTTACCTCAAGGAAACTTCAAGTAAGCACTTGCAATGCTTTCTGAGGCTGTTATTTAAAGAAAGTGGCTGGTAAAGAGAATCATATGTACTTACCTATTTCTCAAGTTGGGAAACGTGAATATTAAATTTTTACAAAGACGATCACCCTCAGTGTGCTCGATAGTCATTTAGAATGCATTATATTGGGTGGGTCAGAAGCGTGTATGAAGATCAACACATTTGCTTAGACAGCTTTTTTTCCCAACTTGAAATCTGGCAATTCAAAATTGGAAAGATATTCTCACCACAAGTACTCTTTCTTACTCTAGTTAACACTCTCAGTGCCTTGCATATGTAAGTGGTCAGAAATTCTAGAGTTTGCTGCCACCTTTCCTCTTCTGGCTCCATATTTCCCTGTGACTCATTCAGGTAGTTGACTGTGACATAAGACCCCTCTGACTTCCCTTTTTGCCCCCAAGACCGCTAGTAGTAATACTGTAAGCCAAGCACTTGATTTTTCGAGTTAGGTATACCATCTGTCTTTCCCATCTAAATACTGTGTGGCTTACCTCAACCTCCATTTTCTTTTCTGGGGAGAGGGTAGAGAGTCACACCCAGCGGTGCTCAGGTCTTCCACCTGGCTCTGCTCAGGACCATATGCCCTGCTGGGACTTGAACCAGGGCCAGCCACATACAAGGCGAGTGCCTTATCCACTGTTCTATCTCTGCAGCTCCTGAACCTCCCTTGTCTTACTCTGGAGAATGGGGAATAATGATAGTAATGCAGGATTGTTAGTGGTACCAGCATATAACAAATACGAATTTATCTGTATACTCCTTTAAAACCATATATCCTATTTTGCTTAGTCCAGTTCTGGTTTATACCTATTACACCCTCCATGCTGTTCAGTGAGAGCCTCCTTACACTCTGAAAAGTACCCCTAGTTTGTTTGGAACTTTGAGATAATGTGAGAAGAACCAAAACAAAAATGTTTATATTGGAATGTCTCTTCAACAGGGAAAATTTTTCTCTGACAAAAATATGACTTTATGGTCTTGGAGAAAGTCTCAGAGGGCTGGAGTCCATACTGGAGTACCTGTGTCTGTATGAT